CGCCCAACGTGGCTGCGCCAAGCGCAGACAGATTGATCTCATACAGACTCCTTGTCTCTTTCTCAGTTGCGGCGTGGCGGTCACATTTTATCAGTTCCCGTTTTCGGGCGAGCGGTCGTATATGTGGGCACCCGAATGATGCCACATTGCAAACGGCAAGAGAAGGTTCGCTCTTGATACGAGATGAAAAGATACGCCAGCCGCATGTTGTTGTGACCAACGGTGACGGCGTGGTGAGCGGTCCTAAGCTCTCTGACAGCGCTTACAAATCGGTGGTTGTCCCATCCATTTGGCTGTAGGAGACGTCAAGTACCTTGGAAACTCGATTTTTCACTGTTGCACGACGCGCTCACCGCCAGTCGAAACCCACGTCACCGAACGAGCATACAAATTCGCAGTGTGTTTGGCGCGCAGGACCTCTACCAACACATACTTTGCTAGACTCGATGCGCCCACGTGGCATGGTCCACACTGCACCCGCGGGACATGTACCATTAGCGCGGCCAACGAAATGGCTGCGTCCGTCTGCATCGACAACCGCCAAGCGCAGCTGGTAGCCGCGTGCTTCCGCTGCCGTTTTCACCGCAGCCTCGATTCAGAGCTCACTTTGCAATTTGCGCCGCACCACAACAGCCAGCATGGTGTTTTTGACGCTCGAAGATCTCAAGATCTCGTTCAACCTCTTCTGCGTCGTGTACGGCATTGGTACGCTCGGCATGCCAGCCAACTACGCCCGCGCCGGCTACTACTGGGCGACGGCGGCCGTCCTCTTGATGGCGGCCATCAACCTCTACTCGACGGTGTGCGTCTCCAAGGTCATGCTCGCGGCGCCCAAGTACGTCAAGACGTACGGTGACATGGGCGAATGGGTCTACGGCAAGCCGGGTCGCTACATCACGACGCTCTCGCAGCTCCTTGTGTGCTGCATGGTGCCGATTGCCTTCCTCGTCCTCGGCGGCTCGCTCCTTGACGTGCTCTTCCCCGAGACGTTTTCGCCCGAGACGTGGATCATCCTCATGGCCATCACGCTTTTGCCCATCTGCATGATGCCGTCGCTCAAGGAAAGCGCCGGTACGGCCGCTGCGGGTGCGCTTGGCACGCTCCTCGCCGACTTTGTCGCGCTCTACGTCCTCCTCAACAGCATGGACAACATCCCCGCGGGTCTCTCCACGCCCAAGCCCGCGCTCTCGTTCGATGGCGTCACGTCGGTCTTTGGCAACCTCTCGCTCGGCTACTCGGCCGGTGTCGTCATCCCGGCGCTCCAGCGCGAACACACGCAGCCGGAGCGCATGCCGCGTGTCATTCTCTTTACGCTCGGTGTATGCTCGGTGCTCTTCCTCTTCATCTCGCTCGCGGGTGTCCACAACGTCGGCTGCCAGATTCCGGGCAACCTCCTCTTTGCCATCACGGGCACCAAGCTCGGCTTCACGGCGCCCCGGGGTGGCATCGTCCTCGCCTTCCTCTTCATGCAGCTCCACTGCTCGATCGCGTTTGCGGTCATCCTCTTCCCGACGTTCTACATCTTCGAGCGCATCATCCTCGGCTTCCACAAGCAGCACTTTACGCTCGAGCCCGAGGCCGCCGAGTACCACGACATTGAGACGCCGGCCGAGGACAAGGCGGTGGTCGAGAAGGACGCCGAGCCGATCGAGGCCGAGGACAAGCCCATCATCTACGCGACGCGCCGCGACTACCTCAAGGCATGCATCATGCGTTTCTGCCAAGTGTCGATCTGCACGGTCATCGCGATCATCTGGAAGGACCACTTTAACGACTTGCTCAACTTTGTC